AGTGAGGATGAAATAGAAGAATTCTACCAACTTCTTCAACCTGAAATCAATCAAACATGCAATCAAGATGTATTGCTCATTACTGGTGATTGGAACACAAAGGTTGGGAGCAGAGAGGAAGGACCAGTAGTTGGAAAATTTGGCCTTGGTAATAGAAATGATGCTGGAGAAAGAATGATAGATTTCTGCAAAACAAATGATTTATTTATTTCAAATACATTCTTTAGACAGCGTAACAGAAGACTATACATGTGGACCTCGCCAGATGGAACACATAGGTATCAAATTGACTACATCTGTGGAAAGAGAAGATGGAAAAGCTCCGTATCATAGTGAAAACAAGGCCAGGGGCAGACTGTGGAACAGACCATCAATTACTGATATGCAAATATGGGGGCTACACACTACTAATTCACTTCATAATACTGTCATCATTGGATTTCCATAGCATTTCATTTAAACTTCCATGGTTGTTATTTATTGTAAACTGTTGTGCTGGTAAAATATCACTGAATTAAAGTGTTAAGATTCTTAAAAATAAAAATTTGCTTATCAGTTCCCCACAACATCTCAATAAGAGAACTGGATCGTTTTAGTCTAAAAATTTATTTTCTAATTCAGCCCTATTCTTATCATGATCCATGAGTATATAAAGAGCAAAGATGTCAGTTTGAGGACTAAGGTGCACCTGACCCAAGCCATGGTATTTTCAAAAGCCTCATACGAATATAAAAGTTGAACAATGAATAAGGAAGACCATAAAAGAATTCATGCATTTGAGTATGGTGTTAAAGGAGAATAAAGTAATATGGACTGCCAGGAGAACAAACAAATTTATGTTGGAAGAAATACATCCAGAATGTTCCTTGGAAGCCAAGATGGCAAGATTTCATCTCTTATTGTTGTTAAGTACTGTGGAGTCGGAGTCAGTTCCAACTCATAGTGACCCTGCACAGGGTTTCCGAGGCTGTAAATCTTTAGGGGAGCAGAAAGCCTCATCTTCCTCCTACAGAACAGCTGGTAGTTTCAAACTGCTGACCTTAAGGTTAGCAGCCCGATTCGTAACCACTACACTACGAGAGCTCCTTTTCATCTCTCTTAATTCGGACATATTATCAGGAGAAAACAGTCCTTTGAGAAAGTGTTTGGTAAAGTGGAGTCAGTGAAAAAGAAGACTCCTAAGGATATGGGCTGGCACAGCATCAGCAGCATAGGGCTCAAGCTTAACAACAATTGTGACGATGTTGCACGACCAGGCAGTGTTTCGTTCTGTGATATGTAGGATTGATATGAGTCAGAACCAACTCAACAGCACCTAATGACAATATATAAATAGAAATAAAAGTGAATTTTATCAAAGAAAATCAAATCTTTCTCATTTGATATAACAGCTTAGACAAATATCATGCTAAATACGATGTTACTTTGGAGTTTGGGACTACAGCCCAAAATGAAATGAAGACAAGCTTTCTTAAAAGAAAAACTGTCAATGTTTGATAGTTTCATTCTCCTCCTCTCTCTCTTAATTTTACTTTAGAAAACTCAGTTTTCATGTAACCTGTGTTTCATCAGGATGAATCATCTGCAATGAGTATCTTTTTCTAGTGCTTTCTAAAATACAGAAACAGGAGACTACCTTATTTTGAGCTTCAAGATCAGCTCTGTGTTCAAGCAGTTTTTCTACCAAGGAACTATTCTGCCCACAGACAGCATAATGAAGAGCAGTATTGCGATCCGAATCCACAAGATTTGGGTCTGCACCGTGGCTTAGAAGCAGTACTGCACAATTCTCCTTCTGGCACTGGACTGCCT